ACAATATCAGGCATTCATACGGTCTTGAGGGGAAGCGCGCCAACTATCCTGCAAAGAGGCGAGTGTACAATGCCATTGTTTTACCCATCAATTCGTTCGAACTAAACATCGTATCTTCAAAGCTGCCAGCAAATCCTCCTGACAGACAAACCCGGTGTTGGAGATTGTCACGGATGCCCGTATAGGCACTTTAGTCCTGAAAACCTCCAGACCAGCTTACTCGCCACTTATTCATCTCGAGGCCTCACCACCACCGACCTGCATGAGGTCATGAGAACAGTAAAGGAAGGCCACTATCATGTTGCCTGTACCCGGGTTTTCGAGATTACACATGCCAACCGAGGCGTGAAAATGGGTGAGGGTATTGGTGGGGGTGAAAGTGTAACTCATCCCAATCAGTACGCTGCCCGGAGTATTGAACTCGAGAAATCGCAAGAAGATGCTATGGCGGTAGAATAAATAGTCTGCTACAGGTTTTGTATTTTAGTTCAGGTGATAATTGTAGCAGTAGTGTCTGGAGTCCTAGACTGCGCAGATGTTGGATTCGCGGCGTGAGGACCCCGACGGGCACAAATCACCTGGCTTCGGCTCCTGGAGCATTGAGTTCGGTCGTCTGCCATCCCCCATCGTCGTTTGTTTCTTACTTTTCTGTTCTGAGACTACAATGGCTCGTAGCAAGACGCCCAAAGCAAACGGCTCTACCAAAGGCCATGACGATGCTCACGTTCTTCAGCAATATGTTGACAGCGAGGGTCATTTCTCGATGGTTAGGTATGGAGCGCTCTGAAGATCAACGCTAGACGATCATACTGACATTAACTGCAGAAACTTCCGACTAGCTGATCTCGTCACAATAATGAACGGCGTCTGCGGCTCTTTTTCAATATTCTCCTCTGCTCAATACCTCTTAACGAAAGATGACGATTACTTGTGGTGGGCACTTGCCCTGCCCCTCGCGGGGCTCATGTTTGACTTCTTTGACGGAAAAGTCGCGAGGTGGAGAAAATCTTCTAGTTTACTGGGACAAGAGCTAGACAGTCTTGCTGACTTGGTAAGCAAGCACATCAATTTGTGGTGTGGCAGATCCTGAACCCGCGGGAAGATTTCTTTCGGAGTCGCGCCAGCTGTTCTCGCTTTCACAGTTGGCCTTCGGACGTACCTCGACACCGTGTGCCTAACAGGCTTTATATGTTGTGGCCTTGCCCGACTCGCCCGCTTCAACGCAACTGTTGCCCTTGTACCGAAAGATGCAACAGGAAAGGCGCGGTACTTTGAAGGCCTCCCAATCCCCTCTTCGCTTGGGCTCGTCGCCGTCTTATCTTATTGGGCGCGGCAAGGATGGATAGAGGGTAAGGATGGATTGCCAGGAGGACTCGTTACTCTATGGGGTCCATCAGGTGGACGGGGCGACCTTCACCCAGTCAGCATCATATTCGGTTTATGGGCTGCTGCGATGGTCAGCAAAACTTTACGCGTTCCAAAGCCATGATTGTTGCCGGGTATTTGTGGACTGTGCATTGGATTTCTTCCTCAAATTGCCCACTCATCCGTACGCAATTAGGTACACTACGATGTTCTACCCAAGGAATGGAAGCTATCTAGCTTATAATCGGCACGACTGCTCGCAATGATACTTTACGATGTACGCATGTGAACTGCTAGATGAAACATATCCACACCCCTTCAAACTGTCAGGCACTAGATAAGACAACTCTCTTGAGAACCACCTAGGGGCAAGCTTTGATCACTGCTCACCAGGACCGCTCACCAGGCTAGTGTATCGAGCTTTCAGGTCGATATCGACTCGCTGGGCCTAGATGAACCTGAAACGGTCGCATCACCGCCGCTGTAACCTGCATCGCCTGTGCCGAAAGCTTGCGTGTCGGGCCAAGTACAGCCTCCGCCTTTTCATCCCGGTTGTTATTCTTCTCTGCGCGCACCGTTGACGCGTCATGGGTGTTGTCCGTCGCGGCTGCATGTCGTCTATTGTGACCATACGAAGTGTCCGGAGATATCAGGCTGCTACGTTAGATGTGAGAAGGGGTTTTATGTGCCATGATGGTCTTCACCCCTTCATCCTCAGGGGTGTTCAGGCGGAGTCTTCTGTAATGAAAAAGGAATCGGGCGCCGTTTATCTGTCACCCAATGGTTGGTGAATTCTGGGTTCTTGCGCATCGTTCGTACGGGAGTCCAAGACTTCGAGTTCCAAGCCATGTAAAGTTGTTGAGGGGGACTCGGAGAGGGTCCCAATAAATATTGATTAATTTTAATTATAACAACTAAGTAAAAGTCTTAACAGGAAACACATCCTTTGCTATTCCCACGCAACTGTGGACCTCACCCAGCATGTCGAGCAGAGCAGGAGGTCTCTATGGTGGAATACAATTCTCTACAGGCGCGACGCTCAATTTCTCCTCTTCATCTACATCTGCACCACCACCGGCAGTGGTACCCCCAGCGCCTGCTCAAAGCACCGAGAAAGCACAAGCTTCAAATGTGTCGACCGTCGCGCCAGAGGCACAAGTAAGTGCCAGTAAAGCCGAGGAAGGAGGAACAACATCAGTAGGATCCGGAGGGTCAGGAGGAGGTTCTGGATCGGGTTCTGGGACGGTGGCAGGAAAACCTACAGCCGGTATCTCTCCCTCCCCTGCACCTTGCTATTTACAGCCAAAATATTGACCGTCTCGCAATCATAACCGTTTTCGCAATGTCGCCCGCCCGCCCGCGCTTCGTTTTCCCGTGAACAGGATGGTCCGCCGCACTTGCCTTTGCGCCCGTTCGGAGGGCCCCAGCGAAGGCGAAACAGGCGGTCGCAAGGTTACCTGTCGGGGCGATGGCGGTGCCTGCGACCACGTCGGGATCGGCCGCGGTATCCGCACCAGTATCAGGTATCTCGTCAGCAACGGTCTCCGCAACTGCTGTCGTGTTTGCCCCGCCGGAACTCGTTATTCCTGGGAATGCTCAAGCGGAAGCCAAAGACGAAGGAAATGCGGGATGGCGGAAGAAGGAAGGTTGGGGCAAGAAAGTAAAGCCCCCGTCGATGGTTCTGGACGAAGACATCAATGGCTTTAAGGCTCAACATAAGCGCAGAGGTGGTGGTGGCGGCGGCGGCGGCAAGAAAGGAAAGAAGGTGTGTAGTCACCATGTCTTCAACGTTTATTGCTGACCAACGGATCGCAGAATAAAAATGCTCAGCCGGTCGCTATATGGGATCCTATGGAACAGTATGATCCGCTAAAGCCCAACGACTACAACGAGTACAAAGTATGGAAACAACGGGATCGCATCGAGCGAGCAACAGAGCGGGCCGCCGAAAGAAAGCGTGCGCGCGAAGCTAGGGACAGAGGTAGCGATCAAAGTGATAGCGGGAGTGAGGACGAACGTCCCCGAAAGACTGGTTTGTCAAAGTTTTCCCTACGTCGGTGATATGTGCTGACGATTGTGTTATTTCAGGGAGGTTTGACGACCACGATACGTTCGACCAGTGGTCTCGCGCAGATGACGAACGTCCCCGAGGTCTTGGCGCTCCTCCGGCAGCTGTGGATCGCAACCTCTCCGGCGAGGATGCATATCTGCGGCGCCTCGCAATGTCACAGGGCGGCGCTCCGCGCGCTCCCTCTCCTCCGACGGCTACTGTAGATCGAAGCACGACGGGTGAGGAGGTGTTCCAGCGACGCATCGTTATGGCTAGTGGTGGCAAACCCGCGCCTCCTCCTGCAAGTGCAGCGCCTTCTCTCTTCCAAGCACCCCCTTCACCCCAGTACGATGAGGAAGAAGAAGACGATGCCGTTCCTGGGCTTGGTATACCTTCCAACGCCTTTGTGTCACCCGCAGCAGCCGTGCCGGATCGTGCCGAGACAGGAGACGAGGTCTACCAGCGCCGTCTCGCAATGTCCCAAGGCCTCCGGCCACAAGCCCCTCCGTTCACTCCTGCATCAGCTCCGCAGATTACCCCCATCGCTCAGCCTCCTTCTCCTCCAGCCTTAGCTTACAACCCATTTGCTCCGCCTGCGAATGTTCCACCCCCACCCCCACCAGGCCAGATCCCAAGTGGGTTCGAGGATAAAGTCAAAGCTGCTGCTAGTATCGCTGCAAAGCTGAGCGCACTCGCTGCTACAGCAGGTGCGAGCGGGTCCAGCTCTGTGTCTACTCCTCAGCCGTCGGAAGAAGATGTAGGATCCAAAAGGTCAGTTTGGCGAGTAGTACAGGGGTACTATAGACTATCTGACCGATAAGCATGTACAGACCCGACCCGCATGGCTTCGCCGCTCGCCTCATGGCAAAGTGGGGCCACAAGGAAGGTCAAGGACTCGGCGCAGATGGATCTGGAATAGTCAACGCTCTCACTGTCGAACAGATTGCCGCACAGGGCAAGGGCAGCAAGGGCAACAAAAAAGGACAGGGGCAAACCCAGGGTAAAGCTATCGGGTCAAAGGTGGGGAGAATCATCAACGATAACGACGATGCGAGGGCGCGAGAGGATCGAGCGAGGTTTGGAGAGCCGAGTCGGGTGGTTGTGCTAACTAATATGGTGGGACCTGAAGACGTGGATGATGGGGATCTGAGGGAGGAAATCGGTCAGTTGGCTGCGACGTTTACTCCGTACTTTGCTCCTCACACGCACTTCTACAGGCGATGAATGCTCCAAGAATGGCACCGTCGAGCGTGTCATCGTACATCTCTGCTACCCACCCCCACCCAATCCCGAAGATGCAGTACGGATATTTGTGCTGTTCGCTGGGCCCTCTGGTGCGTGGAAGACCGTGCGCGAGCTGGACGGGAGGTATTTCGGAGGGAGAGCTGTGAGGGCAAGGTATTTCTCCGAGACTTCTTTCACTCAACATGATCTGGATATTTCGCTTTCGTGACTGGGTGTGATATGTATTAGGTGTAGCTATGGTTATGTTTTACTCCATACTGGTAGACTCGATGCCGCTTTGTGCACCTTCAGTGCGTGAATGTTAAGAGTCAGAGCTGCAAATAATAGGCGCCAATCATAGTCGGGTATGGTGTAACGGCTAACATTGCTGCCTCTCATGATTTGATTTTCCCACGGTGCGCAGCAGCTCGGGGTTCGATTCCCCGTACCCGAGAGTTTTTTATGCGGTTATCTAGGGTATGTAGATGATCTACTACATCCTAAGTACCCGAGCCAGATCTATCGCTACCTCATGTTTCATACAATACGCTGATCCACAGACCGTTCGACGACCATCCAGTTGTTCACACATAATGTAGCCCCCACGTTGTTGAGATGGTTCAGAAGACCCCGAGCAGGTACTAAGCATCTGTGTCAAGTAGAATAGAGGGGCGAGGAAAGTGAGGGAGTGAGAGAAAGGGGATTTTGGGACTTGCTATGGAAAACTCGTGCTTATATATGTCGTCTGTTAGTACTAGGATTCCAAACTTTGTGTACATGCAGCGCCATTCCAACACAATTCCAAACCTTATCCAAGTGCCTTCAGCATTCCTTGCGCCATTCCAACACCTACTATTTACAGTTCTACAATCTCCGGGCCGACACTACTTAGCCCTCTGTTCGAACTCTCCTCTCCTCATATGCGATGGGTTGGCGATGTGTCGAGGGTGTGTTGCATCCTTACATCATGTTACACAGTCATAACTTGAATGTATTAGGAACTAAATGTTGACTTGCAACTTGCAGAACCTGAGCTCAACCATTTAGTCAAGTTTTCGTGAGTTGGTCAGTCTCTGTCAGTCTCCAGTGTTGTTTCCATCCACTGCCGAGCTGATAGGCAACCACAGATGATCATGTCCCGGCAGATCAATGGAACGGACGAGCCCGTGGAAGCTTCCAGCCTCCGATTTGCCTTCCATATAGCTCAAGCCTTCAGAAGATCGTTGAGATGCAGTGGCTCCTCCGCGAACCGTGGGCGGGGGTGCCGCGAGGGACACGGCCGGTGTGGGCTCGATAAGCGATGTCGACCCCAAGGAGGTCTTGGACGGACCGGCGAGTCTGCGTAAGGTGAGAGCGGTGAAAGAGGCGAGAGAAGCTCCATCTCGGAGGTAGCAGACCTTCCGCGATCAGAAAGCGGTGAGATCGGCAGCAGCCCACCCGTCGAAAGCGCAGACAAAGCCGAGAGTCTTTGTGTTGCACGCGGGCGAGCGGCAGGGCCCGGAGATATGAGCTGTTCGAGCATCATGGTCTTTCTTGACCTCTGGCTGAAATGACTTCGCCGGGCAAGGCAGTGTCATCGTCCCCATCAAAATTGGTGCACCTCGACGCCGACTGCAGCTGGCGAGTTGCCCGAACGTTGTGATCAAAATTACTAGCTTACCAGACTGCGAGACCCGACCATATGTGGTCGGAAGCAAAGTACAAATACACCTGAGCCAGCCTCAGTCACAGAATTCGGGCAGCTATGAATCAAGGCGGGGGACAGATCATGTACGGCAACTCCAAATCTCTTGCAGGCTACTACATGCCTGAGCACAAGACGAGATCTACGTGAAATGGACCCTAGCATCACTCCGAATCGCAATCTACGCATCCCGCTTAAACTATCTTTGCACTGACCACTGAGTAAAGGCGACTCACCTTCTTCACTAACATTGATACTGATACCAGGGTGCCTGGCTCTTTCGGGGATTCGACTTATATAAATCAAGGCCACCCTAGGTCCATCGTCACGTTGCTCCCGCTTCTTCTTCGTACGTCGCTCCCAGGGCCCACCGATGCGGGATAAAAGCTTGTGGATAGCTGCGCGTAATCGACCAGCTACTCCCATCCGATCAGTGGTTGGTTTTGCGGGGTAGCCCGTGCGTTTCATCATGTGGAAGGTTCCCAGAGGCTTCAAAGCTAACAGGGAGTGTCTGGGTTTAGGTGGAAGCTTATAAGCTGTATATGATCCGTTGCGAACATTGAACTCACATCGAGTGCGGACGCAGGTCCTAGTTCCTCTTCGTTTGGATGATAGGTCTGCCTGGCTGGAGGATGCACATTATATCCTGTACAGCAAACACTGGTAGGCGCCTGCTGAGAAGAATGTCAGGAACACTGCAGAGGGCGGTAGTCGGAGTGACATGATATGGGCAGGCGGAGCTGGTGTCAGTGATGGTGGTGTCCAGAGAGCGATGCGTCAGTCCGCGGACGAGAAGATTGTCCCAGATGAGGTAGCTTGTGGGCTAAATAACCACCAACCGGGGAGCTTTCAACCCGCCAATCAACCACACGCTCACAGCACAAGGGGGTTTTCACAGGCATCGCATAAACAAAAAGATGAATAAACAGGAAAAATATGCAGAGGTTGTGCTGTACGCAGTCTTGCAACTGTTCCTAAGTTGATCGAATGATCGCGAAACAAAATGGTGTCCGATGCGAAATGAGAAAAATAAGTAGAGGAGCACTAACCGAACCAGTTGCGTAGAAGTGACGTGGGCGGATGGGGGTGGATGGGAAGAAGATAATACCTGGCGCAAGTGGACATAAATAGCTAGTTTGTCCTGAGATGCGTTGTAAATAGTGAAAAGGAAAAAGTGGAAAGAGAAGAAAGAGATGGACATGTACGAAGGAGACGTGGGTGGATGGCGGTGTATGAACCGTCCATGGCGCATATATAATCACAGATGAGGGCATACCGGAACCTCTCGTTTAATTGTGGTGAAAAATAGTCAAACAAATGGAGCGTGGTATGCGGTCGATTGAATGGCTATAGTTGTGGAGATCATGTCTTGATTTGGGGAGAGATGGATGCTAGAAACAAGGTGTTCTGAATGATAGAGATTGGCGATATATGAGGAATTCATTGCAGCACGAGATTCGGTTGGGGAGACTGGATCGTCCCATAGCGCGAAAATGGGCATGGTGCATAACGAGCGTAGAGATCAAACGTGCCGTGATGAGACGTGAGGAATCTTGAAGCCTAGAGGAGTCGTGAGACGAAAAGAGGTGTCGACGAATGAATAATATTGGCGTTTGAGCAAGCTTCGGATAGAAAACTTGGCCATGTTTGCCTTGCTGGCCAGCAACGAGCAGTTGACAACGAAAGGTCGAGCTAAAAGCAAAAAGAATAATACGACAGCTTGCAATAAGCATCGAAGAGAGTCGCAAGCTAGACGACACGGAGTGAATGCGAATTTAGTAGGCAGCCATACGGGCAGCATCGTAGGTCTCGGCACGAGCAAGGGGAGCACGACCAAGTCTCTTTGCCTTCGACAGAACGTTCTTCGTGGGAGGTGGGCAAGGACTGTCGCCGATATCAGTCTCCTCGTCATCTGTCTGAGTGATGTTGCCGATCTCAGCAAGAGTCGAGAGGCCGTTACGACGAGTGCGAGCAGCATTGGCAGCTGCAAACAACTGGGGCGCGCCGCCAGCAGGAGCGGTATTGCGTTTCGGCTGCGGTTGCAGTTGCTGCTGTTGGGTCATGCTTGACACCTTTGATCCTAAATCGCCATAAGCGTATGACTTGGTACGGCCGAACTTGGCCTTGCGGAATTGATCCAAGTCCTCGCGACGTGAGAGCGCGTGACTAGGATCGTCCATAGTTACGTAGCTTTGGGGTTGGCAACGGTCTGCACACTGCTTGAAGTACTCGCAGTAGCCGCCTTCAAGGATGTAGACCTCGGGGTAGTGGATCTTGGGGTACACATGGTTATTCAAGGCACGATCCTTGGAGCGCAAATGCTTTGCGCTAGTTCATCATTCAGTATGACAAAAAGACGATGAGCAAGAAAAACATTACAAAGTAGGAGCTCTCTTGGCGCTGAACTCGCAGTGGAACACCAAAATGGTCTTCTTCGAAGAGTCACCACTGACGCATGGCTTAGGCTTATTGATACCGAGGAGGAATTCTTCTACACCAGACGTGGTGTTAATGTTGACCGCGCCAGGAACATGGCCACCGTTGTACTCATAGTCAAAGCGGCAGTCAATAACGTGGAACTCGGCGATTTGATCGTCGTACGCGCCGTCCAACAGAGCGTCCAGCTAGGCAAGTGGAAATGAATAAATGATCACTGGTTCCGTGTCGACACATAGGACTCACAGTTTTTGGCACAATTCTCATCAAACCGTCCTCACGAACACGATGGCACGGGAGAATTTTTCCTAGTGTCTCATTATCTCCGAAGCCAGGTAAACCTGCGTGCATGAATTTGGCGGAAGGACTCTCCGAGATGTCCCTCGATGCCATAGGGCTCCCACCCGTAAGGGGCTTGAAGTCCTCAGTACCATCACGGCGGCGAATAGTCCTGGTTTGCTGGCGCTTTGTATATGCCTGGGCGGGAGAGGACATATCTGGCCCATCGAAAGAAGATTCATCGGACAAATGCTCCAGTCCAGTGGGTGGAAGCATGGCCGAAACTGCGCGGCGAGCGGGACCGAGTTTGGGAGGAGGAGCAAGACCCAAACTCTGTCGAGGGGATTCCTCTGACTCCATGACGGGATATGCGGACTTGGCAGCACCCTCTGAAGGATGGACTAAGGCAGAGAATACAGGCCGGCGAGGGCGCTTGTTGCCGCCGGAAGGAACGCCGAGACCCTGCAATCCTGGCTTGGCAAAACTGGCCAACAAGGATCCACTTGCCATTCGCTCGAGTTTGTGCTGAGATGGTGATGAAGGAGCCGGAGAGGACGGTCCTTCCTGCTCCACACGAGTGATGGCCTCAGGAGACAGGGAGCGTCTCTTCTTTGGCTGAGGGGCTCCAGGGGTGTCAAACTTCGAAGGCGACATAGTGCCGTAGAACAGATTGTTAAATCCGGTAATAGTGGGGGCAGCAGAGAGTGGAGGGGAGCTCAAGAGATCCCTGGCAGGCGCCAAGGGAACAGGGTCCACATCCATTGCATCTTCCGACATAGGGGACGCAGGGGCATCGGCGGGCTGGCAGTCCGGGTCAGCCAAATGTACTCGAACCGCCAGTCCAAATTAAAATCACTTGCACTCACAGGAGCAAACATGTTCTCGTCCATAGTCTGCGTGGCTCCCAACGATTTAGTGGAAAGCCACTCCATGGGCAGAGCACTGCGTTGGGTGCGCTTGGAACCAGACTGAGTTCCGGATTTGGCATCGATTGATGCAGAATCATTTGAGATATTGCCGTTGCTCATATCTTGACCGAACATGCGTGCGGCGCT